ATGGACTGTGAGATGCCCGTCATGAACGGGTACACGCTACAAAGGCAATCCGTCAGTTCGAACGCGAAACGACCTCCCGCGTATCCCTGTTCTCGGATTGACAGCGTACGCCATGAGTGGAGACCGGCAGAAGTGTTTGGGCGCGGGTATGGATGAGTTTATGGTGAAGCCTATCTCGAAGAACAGTTTGCTTAAGGCCATTCGTCAGTGGATGCGCGTTCGCTATCTCGGCCCCAAAACATCAACATCCTCTGTTGCTGGATCGGATGATTACCCTCGTGCAAGCTCCGAAGGTGCAAGCGTTGCTGCCTCGGCCCGTACTGTGTCTATCTCTTCTCCATCCTCGTCGAAGGACCGCGGCGGAGATGAGCTAGACGTGGCCCTGCCGTCATATCCTACAACATCGCCCACTCCACGCCCGTCCTTCGACAACCAGGTTGATGACGCAGACGTTTTCGTGAACCCTCCCGATGTAAGTTCTCGACTTGCCCCCGCCTCTCGTCACATGCAACAACTTGATCTGGCACGCGCAATCTCGAATCTGGAGCTGGATGACCCCATGGCGATTCGACGCCAGGTTGGACCCACCGTGCGCACGGCCTTGCCTTCAACGTCGATCTTCAGCTTGGGCTCATCGGTCGGGAACAGCACCCGTTCCAGTGGCCTTTTGACGCTTCAGCGTATCACTGGAGATGCCATCGTTGACATTCCTGACTGGAAGGAAATCAACAAAACGTCTGCGACGTTACCGAACATGAAGGACAAACCGCTGGAAGGCGTGGAGACTGCGGATCACGTATCGTCGCATAGTAACCCGACATTGTGGAGCCACCCGCCTTTCGTGGGCAGCAAAAAGGACTCTACTCTACCTTCTACGTCTTCGCAGCAGCCGATGTCGCCCAATTCCGCTTCAATGAGTGCGCGTGATAGGGCAATAACTGAAGGGGGTCGAATTGCCGGCGCACCGCTGTCTTTGCAGCGATTTGACTCGGACAAGAGCTCAGACGAACACATGTCAGGAGATCCGATAGCAGCGATGTTAGAGCGTCTGAATATCAGTAGTCCAGCCGCCAGAAATGGTGCTAGAGGCTCCCCCCGCCTCGAATATGCAAGTGCTACCATTGAGAGTGACGCTGCGGTGCGTGGAACCATGGACCCTTCCAGTATTGTCATCCCCGAGGGCGATCCTGTGGACTATTCGTTGGGTGTGCAACAGTGTGGTGGTCAAGAAGAGCTCTTCTTAAGCTTGCTCGAGAAGTTCACGGTGAGTTGTGAAGCAATCATGTCGCGCATTTTGGTAGCGTACGAGCAAGGTGACGTCACGGTGACTAGAAGAGAATCTCATTCTTTAAAGGGGTCGTCGGCTTATGTCGCTGCCATGCGAGTTTCCAAGGCTGCGTTCCGTGTGCAGGTTGCTTGTGAGCAGCTCCAGCAGTGTCAATTGGAGATGGGCACAGAACAGCAACCAGCGCTTGCCGACGCTGCTGCCATGTTGTCAGTGAAACAGTCGCTAAACGACTCGGTCACGTTGCTTAAGAAGGAGCACCGACACTTACGCGGATATCTCCGACGCAACTTTGAATTCCGCGACCTCACCCGGAGCGGAAGTGCGTCGTCGGCAGCAGCTCTGCTTGCCCAGAACTCACCCCAAGATCGTGCTAACGGACCCTGCGGGATCATGTAAGACAGACTGACTCAAGGTAACTTGTGGGGCGTATTTCACTTGTAGGATACCAGCACTGATGTACTATGGCCAATCTACTTTTTTGCATTTTCTTACTGAGCTTCTAAAATGTACTTGTCATGCCGCTTAAATATCAACAGAGGCGATCTCGTGAGAGAAGACCTGCGTCTCCAGGAAGGTACGGTAGAAGGATTGTTCGCGTGGGGGCAGGCGGCGCAGGAATGCGATCCGGTCAAAAACCACCACGTAGTCAAAATCGTCTGACAGCACGAAGCGGAACTCTTCAACGGTGCGTAGTAGAGTCGCCAGTGCCTCGCGGAAGCACGAGCGCACATGGCCTTGTGGGAAGCCTCGAGCGAGTGAGCTCTCTCTCTTGCTGCTGAGCATGGGGACGAAGTCGCTAAAGAACACTTTCGGCTTGAGCAACTGAAGCAGTCGTGAGGTAAGAGGCACACGGACAGAGTCGGGGAGCTGTGGCCGGCCTGGCGAGCTCATCGTGTCTGCGTCCAGATCCACTACGACAATGCCGTCGCCACAGCCTTCACGCTCAAGCATTTCACGCAACTCTGCACGATAACTGGAGTGCACGCCGAACCAAATAAGGCGTCGGACACTGCAAGCATTCGAGCATGCTCTTGGGCAGGATAGGTGCGAACACGTGGCTTCCACTTCAATGGGGCGATCAAGCTCTTCAACGTCTCGCCCACTGATGTGAGCACGGAGTACCGCGAGCTAACAAGCACAACCTGTCTTTCCAAGAGCATACAGGTCACCAGACTGACCACATGCTCGACGGACAGACAGCTGAATAGCTCTTCCATACTGAAGTCCACGTAACTATCCAGCGTTGAAAGAGACGTCACGTTATCTTGCGAAGACGTAGCAGTAGTGAAGTCGAACGGGGACAGAAGCCCAGCCATCTGTGCAGCGGAAGGCAGCCAGTTTACGTCGGAGAGGTACGCGTCGTCATCTTGCATCGCCGCGTGAAGTGAGTCTAAGCGCTGCTTCAGTGTGTCAAGAATCGGATATCGACTGATGATACACAATCCTGCTGGGACGTAAACCTCAAGTCCCTCAGTCTCCTGCAACACTTGCTCAAGCGGTCCCAGCTTGCTCGAGTCATTCAACGGCACGTATCGAGTGAGACAAGCTCCATAAAATGCCTTCTCTGCGTTTCCGATGGTCATGTGGAATAGTGAAGGCTCTGGACGTGTAGTGGAGCGCACAACGTCTGCTCCAGATGGACGGAAGAACGCTTCTACGTGGTCTGGGATGGCGTGATGATGGTATAGGTCACTGGTGCTCTCACTATGATTATTGGGATCCGCCAGACTGTGCAGGACTTCCTTGATGATCTCGGGGTGTGATCGGTCATTGACATCGAGTCGAAAACTCATCACCGAGCTGATGAGCGATTTACTCTGTGGTTCACCTCGTAATTGGCCTTGGAAGAGATCTCGCAGAGTGAAGGATTTACTCCGTACTCGCTGGGGTTGATGCGACGCCACATTCATGCACTGGAACAACTCTTGAAGTGTTGTCATACTGCTGTTGGAAGCTGTGCTGGAGCCATCGCAAGCCGTGGACGCGACGGCGTCGGATGAGCCAGACGGACTGAGCAAGCGACTCTGATAAGACGCCACCAGTGACTTGAACGACTCGCTCCCCATGAAGCGTACGAAATGATTCACCTTGAGGTCAGCTTCGACTATTGCTTGGATGCGCTCTACAGTTTGAAGGAGCTCCTCTGCGTCAGCCAGCGAGAAGCTGCCAGCATCAAGACAACAGGCCACACGCAGCTCATAGTCTCGCAAGAACGCCTGCTCACCCTCGCCAACAAACGTCACTCGCGTGCTTGCACTTGCAGTCAGATACTTGGCTGCAATACGACTGCCAACCGCAAGCAGCTGCTCGATAAGTTCCCCCGTCTGTCGTTCTTCGTGGTCACTCGCCTGTTGCTGCTCTTCGTCTCCACTGTCCTGTACCGCGTGGATGAACTCATCGAGAATAGGCAAGAGCTGATACCTAAAGTCCATCCAGAGACTCAGTTGCTCGTGTGTGCGCTCCTTAAACAGAAAGACCCAGAACACGCTGCACAGTCTCCTGTTGCCCAGCACACGCTCCAACGTCAAGAACGTCGTAGCAGTGCGTTGTCGACGCACCTGTGTGGACGTGCTGGACACGGGCGATGGCGACGACAAGCTCTCCGCGACTGCTGAAGCTGGAGAGTTGCCTTCCAGCTGCTCTTCATCTGTACTGTCGTCATTTTCGACGTATGTGAGTCTGGAGCTAGCCACAAGCGCCGCAAACTCCGGCGAGGCTGCAAACTGTGTGAAACTGGACTGCAATGCCTTCTTGACAGCCACTTCAGCGTCCTGGAACAGGTCCGTCTTGGCTGCCAGTCCCGAGTACAGCATCAGGTCGTTCCGGAGCAGTTTACCAAAGCTCCAGACCGACTTGTTGAGGATCCGAAGGTTCTCGGATGCGATGTCCAGAAAGGCGTCGGGACTCATGAACTTGTTGATGATCTTGCTCGCGTACTGGCGACGGTGTGCCTGTGCATCGTCCTCGGGGTCTTCCGAGGGTTTGTTGGGAGCAAAAACTTTCTTGAACTCCTCCACGCTCACGAGGAAGAGCAGACGCGCGAATCCTTTCGAATCGGATACAGATAGATGCTGTAGGAACAGCGCGTGAAGGTGCGGGTCGGCCACGACGGCGTCCAGCGTCACCGACGGCTCGAGAGAAGGCATCGGAAGAGAGATGCGAGACGCAGAGACTAAGAGTCGGACTGAAGAGACTTGATGTGTCGAAGGCGCGACTGGGAAAAAAACAGGCGGACGGCGCCCAATTTTTCCTCTTAAGTCCGAACAGCGAACTGACTCCGGTCTGATACCGTACTGAAGACTGGGCAGTGACATGGCTGCATGTTCTGATGCGGGCAAGTGGGGTGTTTGTACTTGGACTCCAAGTTGAAGGAAGACCTTGGTTATACATGTATGAGGACGAGAAAGTTGCTTGGTGTCGAATAGTACCACACCACGTCGGACCATAGTGCTACGTGGCTACGACGTAGCTGAAGTGCAGGTGCAAAACCTCTACATGTGTAATGAAGCCTTAGATATTGATGTTCGTTAATCCTGCATGCGCATGGTGATCCCTCATCATTGAAGAAGGAAATATCTTAATACAGTACACATGTACTGGGTTAGCACAGCCCACAAGTTCGCATGTGCTGAAAACCAGTTCATTGAGTGTGCTGATTGGATTGTAAAAATGTATTCCATTCAAAATACTCATATAATTTTAGCCTTGTGATTGCTCGTCAGCCTACCCCATTCAAATGTATCTGTGGCGGGTGGCAGGATGAAATTTTTTCTTGTATCCACGCAATTTGCGCAGCTACAGAGGACGGGAAGCGTATCGAATCGCTGTACGACTCTACACGGACGTCGATAGGACACCATCGCGATACGTACACCTTTCCGATTAGATCATGGCCTACAAGCGTGACACTAACAATCGACAGTGTACGATGTAGCCCGCATCTTCAGGTGGAACCAGCACGTATCGGTAAGCGTAGAATTAAGCCAGGACCCTAGCCGAAACATAAACGAATACAAGCGCGAACGCTCTGACGTAGGAGCTGAGAGAATCTAGCTAATTTTTGCAGAAATTAAGCCACACTTGCAAAATTTTCATATAAAAATAGGACCTCTCATTTTTCTTTTCCGATTTTCTTTTATAATTTACATTTTAATTTTCTGTCCTTTTCGGCAGGCTCATAATAATAAATATAAAATTCTTATCAAGTAGTTCTCTTGACCGATATGCTGACAAGCTGCAGCCGAAATCGCATACGTGAAAGCGTAACGCTGAAGGAGGAGGTACAGATGTATCTACATCTCCACAACACCATCGTTTATTGAAAAAATTGCTAAACCGTCGGTGAATGTGCGATTCTAATTTACAAATAAATTTTTAGAAACTATTAAGTGAATTTAAACCAACCCAAACTCATATTTAATCAGGGTGAACCACTCTAGCATTTGCTTACAAGGTTTGTAAAAAAAATAAGTGTGTGTACTGTTAACAGTACATACTAAGTACGCTGCGAACTTAGGATTCATTATCTACGGCTGTAGGCTGTTAATCCGCGCTACGCTGGCTAGGAGTTTTCTTCTTTCGCGATGGGCGCATTCTTCTTCTTGTAGACTGATACAGCCAGACGAAGTCGATCGTCTTCTTCTTAAAAATCACCTTCAGCTTCCAGGCGAGATCGTGGGCAGCTTCCCAGGGTAGTCAACCCATTGGATAAAAAAAAGTCAAAATCATTCACGCAGAGTTTTGCGTACACTTTTTCGACGTCAAACCATCGTTCTCCTCAACCTCGTCTTGCTCGGTTGCTGGCTGCCGCTGCGCATCACATCGATCGAATTTCTGGCTTCTTCGGTGCTGGGTCGTAAAATTGGGATTGATAGTGAGCCGGTAGAAAGCTGCGTTCCATGTTACTGACATGTTTTTTCCTCTTATTAGCGGGTGGCATTGTAAATCCAGTACATATGTACTGTATTATGGGAATTCCTCTCATTGAAGAAAGGATAGACAGCTTGCTGCTCCTGATACCGGTGCATGTGAAAAATCCAAGGATTTTCCCATTTGCCGATATTTATCAAATCGGTATTTATTTTTCTAAAATAAATTAAAATTAGTTTTCTTTTTTCATTCATGACAATATGAGAGAAATTTCGGGAGCGTTCAATTTCAATTGAAGTAATCGTCTACCTATGCAATCTGAAAGTGAATCTGAAACAGCCTTTTCGGTTGCTCCAATGGCCGGTCGTTTCAAAACGAAAAGAAGCAGCAAGCTCGATCGCCACCAAACGCATTTTCCTGCTTTGTTTCTGCGGTGACACTGGACCCACTGCGCTCGTAGAATGAACAAGGACATTGGCAACTTAGAAGGAGCTTCTGGCTCTAGTGTAACTCCAGTAAACGCTAGCAAGGTCCCGGATACCCAGCTCGCTACCACATTTGACAAGAGCAATCCTGCGTCTCGCAAGAAGTTCGCTGCTGTCGAAGATGCTGTACTTCTACGAGCTTTCAACGCTTTTCAGCCATGGCGACCTCCTGTTGGTACGGCAAGGGAGTTATGAAGGTGTTTGATGATATTGCTGTTCACTGTGGCGCCGACATCGAATTTGGTGTGAATAAGCGTGGTGCAGCCCTGCGTACTCGCTTCGCTACGTTGTTGAGAGAGTCTAAGAGAGATCAATGCCAGTCTATGCGAAAGTCTGGAGCGGTAGAGCGGTTTGGAGAGCGGGATCGACTTTTGCTCGATATAATTGCCCAGACCGACGACTGGAACGAGAAATTGGAGACTACCAACAAGATTAAGGAAGCGAAGCAAGTAGGAATTGAGAGTTCAGGTGAGCTCATGTGGCGCCTCGCAACGAATGAATCCGTTGCCGGCGACGACGACGATGAGAATGACGACGGCGAGGAGGACTCAGATGCAGCTAGCAAGGTGGGGCGTAGGCGTTCTGCTCAACTAGGAAGCTCTCAAAAGGTAAGATTACCATACGAGAACGTTTGGCTGCTGTCATGGAAGCTCTTACGAACAGCTTGAAGTCGGCTAGTGAAGATGATGGAAATAAATACGAGTTCAAGGAAAAACGATTAGCGTTTGAGCAAGACCAAGCTGAAAAACAACGTTATCATGAGGCTGCAGAAGCAAAAAAAAACGCCGTCAGCATGAGCTGGACCTTGAAACTCGCCGCCAAAAAGCAGATGAAGAACGTGAAAAGAGGATGTTTGACTTCCTCAAGTCAGTGTTGATGCAGAACAAATCTACGGAGTAGCGATGCCCAATTAGATATCAATTGGCGGTGGACTTAACCCGAAAACATGGAAACTTGATTGCCGAGTGGTTGCATGCATGTGTGGTAATTAGTGAGTAGGACGCCAACGAAAAAAAGATTCCCCACAGCGGTTTGCCGTGCCCGATTCTTCTTGTCCCAGTTGAGGAATTCCCATATTGTTTTCACGCAGCCAAAGCCCCACTCGACGCTTTCTCTTACGCTGCTCATGTTACGGTTAAATTCAGAAGCTGAAGAAGCTGTTGCAATTGATGGACAACATATATATCGGCTACACCCGTACGCTGGGTCGCCGAATATGAGCTTTCCACAAAACATGCCACTTTGATCATCCTCCATTATGTCTAGGATGCCGCTAAGATTGAGCATGGTTGAGTCGCGGCGTCTTCCTTCTAATGAACCAAACAAACTGATAATGATTCCATCAGGGGCTTGAATACTCTGCCAATTAAAATAGTGTCTTCGAGGATGACCGTTGTATAGAGCTCGCTGGAGGTTTTCGTATCGCGACATAGGTGTCTCTCTTGCACTAGGTCTAGCCACGTACTGCTTAGTGCCATCAATAAAGCCCAACACGTTCGTAAAGGTGAACCCTTCGCGAGAATAGCAGCAGCGTACTCGGTAAGGACCAAATCATTGTTGACGTAGACTAAATCGCGGTATTGGTCAACGATGAGCTGTGCGCTTGCTTTCACTACTCGACTGTACAGGCCAGTCCCTCTACCAAACTCACTTGCTACTGTCAACAATTTCGATGGCTCAGAAAGTCGCCGACACAACATCGCTAAAGCTTCAACACGACCCACGCGATCACCTGACGGTGTTGTCACTCCGTCCTCCGGAAGCCGCAGCTTGATGGCCAGAACCACCAATTCAGCAATAGAATAACGATAGCGAACTTTAGCAGTTGAGTCGTCTAGCATAATGTCAAATGATCTTGATCGATCAACAGGAGGGGGTGCGTCTCGCAGTCGAAAGCAGTTATTTCGCTGCAGCACGGCCATAATTCTTGCGAAGCGCCTCCGGTTTCTCCTAATCATGATCCATACAGAAGCAACAACAACGAACGCATCATCAGCAGAAAGCTTCGGCGCAATGAACACCATTTGCGAGTGTGGCAATCTCTGCTGAAACCCGCTTTTAGATAGCCTCCATGGACCTGGAACCTAATCACTTTCGAGATAAGATTGGCGCCCTACTTACCGTCAAACTGAATTTGAAGCTGAAACGTGGTCAATTCCGACCTTCCGAAAGTTCTCTATTACTGGCTGCGATCGGAATGTATCTAAATATTTGGCCAAAAAGGTGCTCCACAATATAATAGCCCTATTGCTTCTAAAACCTTGCAATACGCTTGGTTTTACAATTCTAACCAAATCTGTATTCGCAGATGATATTATGGACGTATCATGTGACTTGCGGAAACCCATGCATATTGCTTGGCTTTACGACAAAAATTTCGATAATTATTGGTAAATCCACGCCATATGCCTTAATGTTTGCGTGGTGGGGAGTAAACCCAAGCATATATGCATGTTTTACATTTTACTATGAGAGCTTACGTTACAAGTATATCTTAGCAGCAATAGGGATAATATCGTAGCAATCGACGTGGGTTTGTTACATGTCGGTGCTGATGGGTATGCACGCCCCCCCCCCCCGTACAGAACACGCTACTCCATCTAGCGAGCTCACAACGCAGCAGGCTAGCAGCCTGTGCCTGGGTGGCGCATACCTCTAATTTCGGGAATTTAAAATAATTTTTGATATTTTTTAGCTTGTCCTTGTACTTTCTCACGTATAGATGACGATTCAATATTATTGTTGAAAGCCAACTCGCAAGTATACACCACAAACTACTTCGTTACGATGTAACCGAATACGTATCCCCAAGTGTACCC